CACATTTATGAAGTGGTGCAACAAATCTGTATTTGAGATAGAATATAGCTTGTTGGTTACACATATCAAAATGGGTAAAACAATGTTCAATGAAATTCAATTCCCTTCTAAGATGGATAAGGATATATGAATATATGTGGCATATATCATATAACATTCACTATATATGAATGCATATGAATTACTGAATGACTTAAATTCTGCAGAGAAAAATGCCAAAGCCAGTGACAAGACAGGTTTCCTGTCCATAAACAGATACATATCTTAAGTAATTATAGGACTGGCACTGCGGCTCAATAGGCTAATCCTCCACCTAGCGGCACCAGCACACCAGGTTCTAGTCCCCGTAGGGGCGCCAGATTCTGTCCCGGTTGCCCCTCTTCCAGGCCAGCTGTCTACTGTGGCCCGGGAAGGCCGTGGAGGATGGCCCAAGTGCTTGGGCCCTGCACCCCATGGGAGACCAGGAGAAGCACCTGGCTCCTGCCTTTGGATCAGCGCGGTGCGCTGGCCGCAGCGCACCAGCCATGGCAGCCATTGGAGGATGAACCAACGGCAAAAGGAAGACCTTTCTCTCTGTCTCTCTCTCTCTCACTATCCAATCTGCCTGTCAAAAAAAAATAATAATAATAACACATATCTTAAGTAATTATAAAACCGCCCTTCATTCTTAACCAACTTTTAATTCTCAAAAACCAACGGGAAAACCAAATGCATATGTTGAAAATAATGACAGGAGGCCGGCGCCATGGCTCAATAGGCTAATCCTCTACCTGTGGCGCCAGCACACTGGGTTCTAGTCTTGGTCGGGGCACCAGATTCTGTCCCGGTTGCCTCTCTTCCAGTCCAGCTCTCTGCTGTGGCCCAGGAAGGCAGTGGAGGATGGCCCAGGTGCTTGGGCCCTGTGCCCACATGGGAGACCAGGAGAAGCACCTGGCTCCTGGCTTCAGATCAGCGCAGTGCGCCGGCCACAGCACACCAGCCGCAGCGCACCAGCCGCAGCATCCATTGAGGGGTGAACCAACGGAAAAGAATAGACCTTTCTCTCTGTCTCTCTCTCTCAGTGTCTACTCTGTCAAAAAAGAAAAAAAATTAAAAAAAGAAAATAATGACAGGAAATCATATTCATATATAAGTAAAATTTTAATTAATAAAATATGCATCCAAAGACCCCACCTAAGTTCTTCCTTGATAGTAACAAAGTATAGATATGGGTAAAAAGAAGTAGAAACATGCAAGAATACACAAGCCATATTCTCAAAAATATAAAATTAAACTGTCTCATAAAAACAACCTTTCTAGGCTGTTATTCAAATTTCTACCAGACTGCAAGAAAATAATGACAAGTCTAAAACAATGTCAGAACTGAGGTCAAGATCCTAAATTAATTATTTTGAATCATCTAAACATTTTCTAAGCAAACATATACACTCTGGATCAACAGTTACAGAAATAGGAAGATACGTATTTCTACCTCTGGTTATCAGAACACAGAAATGTGTCTTCATAATCAGAGTACTGTTCCCAGGAAAATAGTATTGTTTCATTATTATTAATAACATGTAAAATATTTTACTTTTCAAAATTGTAGAATCTGTTCATTTCTCCTAAGATCATTGTCATTAAAGTAAAACAAAAGGCAGCTGCTTGACTAAAACACACAATATGTATAGACACACACACACACACACACACACACAGAACCATCAACAAACACTTCTTTTGCTAAACTCTGTAATAGTAAAAAAAATTTTCTAAAAATTTGTTCTGGTTAAGATGGTTTTATTCCAGAGATTGAAAATATAATAATGTATCATTAAGGCTCATGATTCAAAAATTTTTAACTTCATAAATTCCATCATGATTGTTATTCTACAGTTAAATTTAAATGTTCTCTTATTCCTTTAAAACACTTAGCACCACCACCCTTCTAACCCAGCTAGGGCATGTTAACAACATTTCAAGGAACTCGATGGAGCTCAATCACAACCCTCTAGACATTACAATAACCAGATCATTCTCTTGGTACTCATTGAGTTGGGTGTTGAATTCTTACCCTATTTGTTATTGTTATACAAATGAATAATAGGACTTTGGTTAAATATCTCTCCCTTTTGGTCTTTTCCCATATTTTACATATCTAGTCAACATTAGATCTTTGGTTTTCTAAATAATTTTGGTAAAATAAGTACTCACTTATCAGTCACATAAATATTAAACACAACTAAAATCCCTTTTATTTATTAAATAATATTTAGTCAATACAATCATAGGATATTTCAAAACCCTGTAAGAAATATAGAATAGCTGGTGCTACCACTGCAGAAAATGTAGCACTTTTGTACTATACACAATAATTCTTTTCAAATGAGATTATTTTCAAACAAAAAAGTAAAAAATAAACTAAAAGGAAAGGTGGAAGAAAACCAGAAAATTATTTTTATAAAGAACTATTTAAAGAAGATTATGTTCAAGAAATTCCCAAATACAATAATTTAGTTATTTAATCTTACTTAAAATGTATTATATTCCAAATGTGCTTGCTTATTCACAGTGAAATACTTGGTTATGCATCAGAGGCAATCAAAAAATTGTACACCATATAACATTAACATTGAATGTCAATAAGTGACTACGCATTTAATATCTAAGATTATCTATCCATTCAAATTAGCTCCCAGAATACTTAAAATTAAATGGATTTGTTGTTTTGTCAGAAAAAAATATCATGTTCATGATGCTAATGTTTTACACATACCCACGAATATTTGATAACATAATATGCAATAAGGCAAACTGAAATGATTCCTTCCCCCTCAATCTATAGTATTTATTGATACTATACCTTATATAATTAGGAAGCTTATATAATTATTAGGAAGCTTATATAATGCAGTATAGACAATATGTCCCAAGCTAATCTGTTCAACAGATAAAAGAAACACCGTATTTTTGCCTCTATGAGGCAAAAAAAAAAAAAGGAAAAGCTGATCACACAGGATTTTAATTTTCCCAAACAGCATATACTTGAAACTCCAGTGACAATATTCAAATGATTTATGTAAATTAGAATGGCCAAACTCTGTCTACTCCAACTGGTTATTAGTGTAGTGCTTAAGTTATGGAATTTTGATGATCACATTTGATTCTAGCAATTGATTTTGAAAAGAACAATGATAGATGTTTGTCCTTAGTCCATATGCAATGGCCTTGTATGGATATCACTTGCCTAGTTTCAGATCCTGCCGACCGTTTTTGTTAAAGAGCGCTCCCCCACAGCTATTATTCACAGAACCTATTTTCATCCTCACAAAGCCTCCAGTCTAGGCTGTGAAATCCAAGCTTCAAATATTCATAAAATTTATAAATATGCCATTCAAAATAATTTTATTTCTTATATTGTCAACCCTCACATTACCACTAGTACTCCAACAGACAAAGAAGATTGGAAAAAATTATTCACACTGGTAAGTAACTCTGATAAAGAGGTTTACCTGAATAGGGGTTTCCAGTTGATGAACACAATATCTAGTGAGTTTCATGGAATGTTTTGGTTTCTTGAATAAGCACATCCCCAGCAGCACCACCAAGGTACTAACTTATGCTATGTAACAGTCAACAGAGTACAAAACAAATGTAATGTATATGTACAGAATTAATATTTGGATATCTGACTATTGTTTATAGCCCTTGTCTACACCCTTGGTGAACAGTGGTTTTTCTACTTACTACTTGTTGACTTCTGTATTTAGTGTAAATTTGTGTAGGAGGGATGGAGGGAGAGTTGGATAGGAAGTATTTATGTTCTTAAAACTGTATATATGAAATATGATGTTTGTTCACTTTTTATTAACAAAATTTTAAGAGTTAAAAAGAACAGTCATCTATTAATCTTGAAAGAGTTTTTCCTCCAAAGTAATTTGTAAACTGGAAATATGAGGTTGTACAACGATCACATATCCATGTTTTTCAGAGAAAAGTTTTTAACAACAGCACAGTGAAGAATCCAGAGATAATACCTTACATATTTATAAGTTTTCTACAGTGGGAGACAACTTGATTCATTATTTTGATTTTTATCAGCTTTTTCATTAGCAGTATTTTAAGCAGCCAGTATTCTCATAATGGTGAAAAGTTATTTCAAGATTTTAAAGTTATATACTGAATTTTCATGTAAGATACTCTACTTAGAGACCAGAATTGTAGCATACAGGGTGATGCCCCCTGTCATGCCAGCGTCTCATATGGGCACTAGTTCAAGTATTGGCTGTACCACTTCTGACCCAGCTCCCTGCTGGTATGCCTGGGAGAGCAGATGAGGATGGTGAAAGTGCTTGGATCCTTGCCACCCAAGTAGGAGATCAGAAGGAAGATCCTGGATCCTGGCTTTGCCCATGTCCAGCCCCAGCAGTTGTGGCTATTTAGGGAGTGAACCACCAAATGCAGGATCTCTCTTTGTCTCTCCTTCTCTCTCTCTCTCTCTCTCTCTATATATATATATAGCTTTCAAATAAAATGAATATATCTTTGAAGAAAAAAAAAGATACTCTACTTAGCAGACATTTCTTTATTTGATAGGCAGATAGGCAGAGAGAGAGCCCACCCATCCTCTAGTTCATTCCCAAATAATCACTCAGCTAGGGTAGGGCCAAGTCAAAGCAAGGAGCCATGAACTCTATCCAGATCTCCCACATGGATGTCAGAGATCCAAGTACTTGACACATTCCCTGCTACCTCCCAGAGGCACATTAGCAGTAAACTAGAATTAGGAGCAGAGTGGAGACTTGAACGCAGGTACTCTGATATGTGGGATGTGGGTATCCTAAGCAGCATCATAACCACCATGGCAAATGCCTGTCCCCTCTCAAATTTTTAAAGTGCACAATATTTTTGTTATTTTTGTTGATGTATTATTCAAATACAAATATAATACAATATATAAATTAAGAAATGAAATTTCATAAACAAAGGAATCATATTATATAAAATTAACAACACAACTGTCTAGCACAAGCATCATGAAGAGTATAACACCAATTTTAAAAAGAATTCTATTGAACACGATTATCATATTCAGATAATCTTTAATTCTATTGAACATGATTATCATATTCAGATAATCTTTGAGTCATCTGAAATTTGGAACATAGCTTAAGTACTATTTTTATCGTTTAAAATTGATTTTATAAGAAACTAGAATTTGTACACATATAAGACTTATGAGGTAAAGTTTTAGAGATACCTTAGACACACACACACACACACATACACCCTCACCAATGGCAATCATCATCATATTTCCCAAATATGCTTATGAAAAGAATCAGAAGATTAATCTTATAAAAATATCCAGATACTTTTTGCCTTATATATATATGATACTACAAAAAGATCATAGAAATTCAAATTGTGAAAAAAAATTGCATGGATTTCAAAAAATTTTTGCACCCAAGTCAACTTATTTTCAAATTCTATTTTTCCAAGAACATTTGAAGTCCCATCATATAATCACAAGTCATCAACTTTTTGTGGTATGTGACAGTCCCGTTTGTTTCTTTAAAATACAAGGAAACATGGTTGTACCTTGCAACAAAGCACTTCGTGTAACACCTCTTACTCTTGTCCCAAATAGCCATGGAGATAAGTTATAGCCAAAATATATGAAACCATAGTTTTGCCATTTGTTATTTTCTTCTCCTAGATCTTCAATGCTATTGAGGCAATCAAATACCGAAATGAATTATTGAAGAATATTATACTAAGATAGCTATAAAAGACAAAATACTGGCTTGGATTTACTTGATCAACTAGAAAATCAATCTAGAGGGATCAGCACTGTGCCGCAGCAGATTAAAGCCCTGGCCTGAAGCACCGGCATTCTATATGGGTGCCAGTTCTAGTCCCAGCTGCTCCTCTTCTGATTCAGCTCTCCGCTGTGGCCTGGGAAAGCAGTAGAAAGATGGGCCAAGTCCTTGGGCCCCTGCACCTGTATGGGAGACCTGGAAGAAGCTCCTGACTCCTGGCTTCAGATCAGCTCAGCTCTGGCTGTTGTGGCCATCTGGGGAGTGAACCAGTGGATGGAGGACCTCTCTCTCTGTCTCTACCTCTCCCTGTAACTTTTTCAAATAAAATAAATCTTTAAAAAAAAGAAAATCAATCTAGAATACATTTAGCACTATAACCAAAAGCATATACCTCCTTAATACTTTGTCATTTAAAACATTTATTTATATTGCTTTCATTTAATTTAAAAGAGAGAGATAGTGAGATAGTTCCCATCTGTTGATTCACTCCACAAATGCCTGCAATATCCAGGGCAGAGTAGGGCTAAAGACAGGAACCCAGAACTCAATCTAGGTTTACTATGTGTGTGGTAAATACCCAAGAACTTGAGCCATCAACTGCTGCCTCCCAGGGTTTGCATTAGCATTCAGCTGAATTGGAAGCAAAGGAGCCAGGACTCCTACCAGGCTCTCTAATGAGGGATGCTGGCATTCCAAGTGGTATCTTAACTGCCTAGTGAAACATCCACCCCCTTTGTCATATTTAAATGAATTGGTTAGAAAATGTAATGAGTCAGTGGGCATCAATTCAACAGAGCTGATCAGTGATATAAAATAATATTGAGCTAAGTACCTAATAAAGTCATATAAAATTTTATACATAACTATTGGCTATTGCTTTAAGAAATTATGGTAATTGATATCTGAATAAAGCTCTGTTGTGCATTTAGTTCTTTATCAGATTGAATGTGCAGTACATAACACTGAACAGTAAACACTCATGATTATGATATACCTACTACCCAATGCTAATACTGCAAATTGGAAAGTTACTGGTTGTGGCTGTGGTTGTTCCTGTTGTTGTCATATACTGATTTATTTTCAGCCTTGAACTATGTGATAAGTCACTCATCTCTCTTCCCTTTTTGTTCCATTTGCTCATTTATAAATAAAATTTTCTATTTATTTTCCTACTAGAAATCTTCGAAAAGTGTGTGGGAAGGATGCAACTGTTACTCCTGTGGCATTCATTTACTGTAAAAGAAAACCTTGACACTCATAAACAACAGTTGAATGCTTTCAGCATTTTACTTTAACCCCTTGTCCCTGACACATGTCTAATTAACATATACATTTCTATATGTTCTGCACTTCTCTCAATAAGTAGAATTACTTGTTCACAAACTCATCATACATTAGCTCAGAAACCACAGAGGCAACCCTTAAAGAGCATAGAATCTCCTCAAGCACTGATTTTCTAGACACATATCAAGAGAAAAGCCAACATGAAGTTTGCCAATAATGCTTTACAATCTTAAACAGAGTCCACTTTCATTAAATTATTGTTGGTCACTAATGGAGAGGGTTTGCATTTAATCCTATCTACTACATCATTAGAACTGTCCACAAAGAACATCCTTGCTGTACACATTGAGATTATAATTCTTCTATATTCCTCCCGGAAATTCTGGTTCAGTAGTCCATATATGATTGCATTGAGACAGCTGTTGAAATATGCCATGTAATAACTAGCCACAAACAGCCACTCTGGGATTCTGGGTACCATGCTGACAGGGTCTGAGGCCACTGCAAGACCAATGAAGTTTAGAGGAGCCCAGCAAATGGCAAAAAGTACAAAGACCACAAACATGGTGATGAAATTCCTGAAGTCCTGTGGTTTCAGTTTGGGTTTGTTGTCAGGCTTCACTCTCCGTCTGACCTGAAGCACGAGGATCCAAATTCTCAAGTAACAGAAGATGACAATGAGCATTGGAATGATGAAATGGAAAACCACCACAGCTATCGTGTACGCTGAACTGACAGATTGTGAGAAGGTACAGGAATAGACCCTTGGATCGTATTGCAGGGTTCCAGTATGCAGGTTGGGCATGACTGCCACAAGCGTCAACATCCATATCAGGAACACATAGCAGAGGGAATTCTTGTTACTGTACAGCTTGTCATACTTGAGACTGTGGCAGATGTAGCAGTAGCGGTTAATGGCAATCCCAGTGATATTGAATATTGATCCAATGACACTCAAGCCCATCAGGAAGCCACTAATTTGGCAGTGTAGATATCCCAGGTTCCATCCGTTATTAAATATAGATATCAGCACCAAGGGGTATGGATAAACAGCCACCACTAGGTCTGCAACTGCTAGGCTCACCACAAATATATTTCCTAAAAGAGAGAGGTTTATAAAACACAAGTTAATGCCAGTTTTACATGTACTGCATGGGTTTTCTTTCATAGATATTAGTCAAAGTGCTGTTCCAACAACTTGAACAACCTGACATCACAGCTATTTCTCCATTATCAACGAAGTGGAGGCCATTTTCAGCAGGAAGTAAGCCCATTGCTCCTCTTGTCCAATCAAGTCCACTGTTCACAAGTTTCTGCATGCCAAGAATAGGACATACGCCACGTTCAAAATTATTGCCTTTTGAATTTGTTGGTTTCTTGTCTTTTAAGAAGCCCTGAGTCCGTTATATTTATAATATATTGTTTGTTCCAGAACTTTCTACGTTACCTGAGAAATGTCATCTCATGTTATCTCTCAAGTCAGCAAATGACTTCCTTAAGTTCCAGGTCTTCTTTCCCTCTCCAGTTCTTTAACTGTTCTAAAATTAGCCTCAGTCTTGTAATGTTGGACAGCACTGGATCCTTGTCCAAAGCATAAGAATCAAGAGAAAAAGGCTCTATCATCAGCTGCCTGGATTAGAACATTGTTTTCGCCTCTTACCATCTATCTAACTGAGCAGTTCCTTCAGTTTGCCAAGCTTCGGTTTCATTTCCAATAAGATGGAGACAATGACATATTCTAGGTTGTGATAAGCATTAAATAATGCAATCTATGTCAAGTACTAAACACAATGTCTTATGCCATAAATATTGCTTATATTCTACAACTGTCTTACCTCAAGCCAAAGGAAATGGAAAAATTCTCTTAGCTTTTATAAAGAATTTAAGGTACAAAAATTAAACCCTAAATACTATAAGTGATGATATCCTATATTAATAACTCAGTACATTTTTAAAGTATAGCAAAAAAAATCTTCAGTAGAATTTTTGAGATGCTCTGCAAATACTCCCTTTCCTTTCAAAACTCCATTATCTTCTATTCCTGTTGCATCCAATGGACCCTCACTCCAGATTTTATAATTTTATTCATTCTCCCACATCCATTGTGAACAATGCCTTTGTTTATTTTCCCAAAAAAGTGCCTCCTACCTTAAAAGGCCTAAATCACTTTATTTATATCACCTTTAATTTAAGCTAACAAATTCTGTTCAATAGAAATTTATTTAATGCATATAATAGGTGCTGGGAAATAGGAATGAACAGACAGGAAAACTTAGGGAAATGAACTAAATTAGAACAGAGCTAAGAAGCATATATACAGGATACAAGGAAATTAGAAGGGAGTGATACAAACTAGGGTGGGAAAGCACATTCCACACAGACTGAAACGTGTCCTGCCTTCTAAACTTGTCTCTCCTGTATTCCTAGACTATAGCCCCCTCAGAAGGAGTCTTCCTCAAATTTGTATCCTCTTTACTACCGTTTGATCATATGCTTGATGCAGTAAACTAAAATTGTTACCTTCTAATATTTGAAATAAAATAGCCCTTTTTGTATTTGAAGTTTCTATTTGATTAACTTTACTACAAGATTTTTTTTCAAAGAAACAAAGTAAAATAGCACACAGAACAAAAGAAAGGCAAAGTTTGTAACATTTAAGTTGAAATTTCAGATAAACTGTTATAAAAGCAGTCTTTAAAATAGGATGATTATTCCAAATTAAGTTATAAAGGCAAATTACTTTTTCCCACAGATCAGTCTCAATGACCAATGAAATATTTAAGTTCCAAAGTCAATATATATTCATATTTTAACTCAAAATGTTTAATTCTTTAAAATATTTGTAATACATGAAATTCTGCAACAAGTTAAAAAATCATTAAAACAGTATATTTTTATCCAGAGTGTCACAAAGACAAACTGGTCTAATAGGGATTTATTATTAAGAGTTTAAAAATCCAGAAATGATGTGATAACTTTCTTTCATGACTTTAATCCTCTGTTCCATTTATTTTTACAGTAATTATGCTTCATTACTTTTCTAGTAATTACATTAATTAAATAATTAGTTTAAATTTATTTTAATTAATCCAATTTTACAAATGTTTGGAGAAAAAAATAAGCCACAGACTCTATGCACATGTGACTGCCAGTCAGCTCAACTCAAAGCCTTATTACAGCTGTGCAAATGTGTATGGAGTGTGTGTGTTGGGGGAGTAGGGAGGAGGAGAAAGAAAATTCTTTTTCATCCACTAAGTAAAAATGATTAAATCATTTCATCACAATTATGCACATTGTAAGGTCATCTATTCCATTCTCAGCCCTGCAACTTCAGAGTGATTAATGATCTGTCCATTTTTTTTACAGAAATCCAAGACTCTATCCAACTAGCATAATAATGCATTTGAAATTTAAAATAACATCTGGGCCGGCGCCGCGGCTCACTAGGTTAATCCTCCGCCTAGCGGCGCCGGCACACCGGGTTCTAGTCCCGGTCGGGGCACCGGATTCTGTCCCGGTTGCCCCTCTTCCAGGCCAGCCCTCTGCTGTGGCCAGGGAGTGCAGTGGAGGATGGCCCAGGTGCTTGGGCCCTGCACCCCATGGGAGACCAGGAAAAGCACCTGGCTCCTGGCTCCTGCCATCGGATCAGCGCGGTGCGCCGGCCGCAGCGCGCCGGCCGCGGCGGCCATTGGAGGGTGAACCAACGGCAAAGGAAGATCTTTCTCTCTGTCTCTCTCTCTCACTGTCCACTCTGCCTGTCAAAAAAAATAAAAAAATAAAAAAAAATAACATCTGCTCATGGCTAGCAATTTCTTTGTTGGATTTAGCTCCAATCCTTACTGTGGAAGAATCATAGGATCATAAAATACTAAGCTTGAAAGGTATATTCTTCAGTGATCACTAATTTTAGAGATGAGGGAAACAGAAATATGGACTTAAATTGGTTGAAGTCATAAAACAAGTTAGTGAAAGAGCCAAAACTACAAGAATATTCATTATTTACTAGTTTTGCTCAGTGCACTTTCCTAAAAATTCACATGCTCTTAACAAACATGAGGTCCAACATTGAGCCCTCTGGCCAGGCCTGACTTACAGTCTCTTCTGCTATAATTCTACAAAAGCATCTTAGAACTACAAAATTATAAAGAGATAATGGAGATAAGGAAAACCCTATAGACGACACTATAATAGCAACAAGAAAAAACACTGAGTGGTCCCCTATGACTAAAGAAACAGACTATAAACGGCAAAGTAAATATTTGTTTCGATGAACAAACTCTTAATCTGGAATTAAAACACTGCATAATATGAATAAAACTAAGAAGTTTCCTTGTCTAAATTGCCTCTCTCAGATTTAACTTGTGAGTTCCTTGTGGAAATGCTCGAACTAAGACAGTATTATCTTTCTGCTTACTACCATTATTTCTCTATTTCTTAGCATTTCCCCTCAGACCCAGGAACTGAATTCCATGAGACCTATGGCTGTCTTAGATTTCGTCCTCACCCCCATCCTCACCTCTAACTTTGATACCACAGCCATAGAGTCTGGCCTGAGTGAGTCTAGTTCACGCTCCTGGGTTCCAGTCCTTCATCCCATTGTTCTGATTTTCCTTTTGCTGCCTCTTAATGTCCATCTTTAATCCTCAATTATCTCCTCTGGAAACTTTATCCTCCTGCACCAGATACAGAAGCAACAGCCTCAAATAAACCATTGGAACAGCTTCCACAACTGCCCTAGTGATTTTGCTTCTTGGATTGACTGAACTGCTATACAGAATTTGATACTAAAAGTGGGCCACTGAGATGGTTTCTCTATACTGTTTTTGGGTTATCTGCAATTGGTTCTGTAATAAGACTCAATTTAACACATTAACAATCCTGTTTCCATCAGCAAAGGCAACACTAAGAGTTCATGGCATGCAGTGGTGAAAGTTACTTAAATTGTTCCTGGCATTGCTTCATAAGGTGAACAACAATTTGCTATATTCATCCCTTCTACCACTAAGAAAAAATATATATATATACACTTATCACTAAGAAAAAAATATATATATATCGAACATTGACATATTCCACCAACTTATTTACCAAGTAATCCATAAAGCTGTTGATTAGGAGTGGATCCCACACCAAGAAAGCCAATCCACCCCTTGACCTATCTGATCCAACTGCTATGGTCTAAAGGTATCCCCACCAAATTCAGATGCTGGGACTTAATCACTAATGTGATAGAACAGAGGTAAGACACTTAGGAAGTGATTAAGTTTCTTATTTAGCTCACAGTTCTGGAAGTTCAAGACCAGGCATATGCTGGGCTCAGGTGACAGCCTTGTGGAAGATGGCATCACATTATCAGTAACACATGTGGAAAAGGTCACATGGCTAGACAGGGAGCAAGAAACCAGAAAGGTACCAGCTAGGTTTATTGTTTTTATATCAATCAACTGTTGGGGGTGTTAACCCACTCTGAGCAGAGTAGACTATTCCCATGAGACAGCATTCATGAGGTAGAGCCCTGATAATTACCCTCCACTAAGCCCCATTTCTTAAAGGTTCTACAACCACACTGGGGTCTAAGCCTGCAGCACTGAAATTCTGAAGGATAAACCACAGCCAAACCATAGCTGGTATTATTCCCCAGAAGGCATTGTGTGCTCTAAAGCAGTGACTAATATATAGGGTTGTTTATTCACGGCCAGGATTCAGATTTCAGTAATCAGAAAATCAAGGGTGGAGATTGCAGTTGCTCCTCTCACAATTACCCTGGTGACACCCTAGCTAGGTGTTTGTTTCCTTTCCCCAGAACTTTAGGTTCTGCTGATCTAAAGTTTTAGTTACAAAGGAGAAATGCTTCTATCAAGAGATACATTAATGCTTTTGTTAAACTAGAAGATGAGAAAACCACCTGAACACATTCCAATGAGTCAATAGACAAAGAAGAGGGTTACCGTGCTGAATGGGTAATTAATCCTGATTATCAAGGGAGAGACTGGGTTGCTTTTACATAAGAGAAACAACAAAGTATATGTCTAGAACATAAGAAATCCCTAGATTGAATAGTACTCCCATGTCCTGTTATTAAAACTAATGGAAAACTA